TAACCCCTCTGTACAGTATGTTCTCAAATAAAATAAAATAAAATTAAAAAAAAAAAAAAAACAAATTAACGGACAAGAAGAGGTCCTGTGTGTCAAGATCAAGACTAGAACTCAGGGCCTCCTGATGTCCCCTCTTGTGCCCTTTCCCTGTACTGCTCCACTGCCCTGTTGCTGCTATAGCAACTCAGTGATGCTCCAAGCGTCGATGTGTAGGTTTGGACTAGGGCAGGTACCCATGGCATATGGTAGATGAAGTCAAGTTCAGGACAGGTTGTGGGCAGGGCCCTTGATGGTATTTTTACTAAGCAAGAGTCGGGTTTGCATGGTAGTTACTATGATGATACCATCATCATAGAAATTCTAATAGCATTGATGTGCCATTATTTAACGCATTAATTTACATTAAATAGTTTGTTTACATGTGTTAAATCCTCACAACCTTTAGGTATATATCATTTGCATTCTGTTTTGCTTTATTACAATGAAATACCTGAAGCTGGCTGCTTTTTTTTTTTTTTTTTTTTTGTCGGTTATGGGGCCTGAACTCTGGGCCTAGGCACTGTTCCTCAGCTCTTCAGATCAAGGCTAGTACTCTACCACTTGAGCTACAGTGCCACTTCAGGCATTTTCTGCTTATGTGGTGCTGAGGAATTGAACCCAGGACCTCATGCATGCCACAAGGCAAGCACTCTACCACTGAGCACCTTCCCAGCCCGAAGTTGGCTGCTTTATAAATAAAAGACATCTGGGTGCTGGTGGCTCATGCCTGTTATTCTAGCTACTCAGGAAGCTAAGATCTGAGGCTCATGGTTTCAAGCCAGCCCAGGCAGGAAAGTTCCTGAGATTCTTACTTCCAATTAACCACCAGAAAACTAGAAGTGGAGCTGTGGCTCAAAGTAGTATATAGCATTAGCCTTGACGAAAAAGAGCCTAAGCCCTGAATTAAAAAAAAAAAAGAAAAACAAGTTATTTACACTCACATGGCAAGAGGGAAGAAGCATACACATGTATGTCTATTCTTTGTTTCTCTATCTCTTCTTAGAAAGTCTCAGGGATTAAATCCCGGGACTCTATCGTAAATAGCACAGCTCATTCTAATTATCTCTTAAAGGCTGTATATCTAAATACCATAGTTGAATGGAACTTCCACTCTCTTAATGTCTCACAATGGTGAGTAAATTTCAATACACAAATCCCCTGAGGACACATTCAAACCCTAGCACTTTTGAAAAATCTACATTCTACAAATAAGAAAATAGGCCCAGATTAAGAAGCCTTGCCAAGATTCCACAACTTCAAATTTTCAAAGCTGGCAATTAGACATGGGCAAACTGGTTTCAAAATCCAGCTGAAGCCAGACACACACACACACACACACACACACACACACACACACACACACAGATTGTGTGTCCTCCAGACACAACACAGACGGGTCCCACATCGAATTATCTGCAGCTGGCTGAGAATAGGAAGCCTCCATTCAGTCTAACACCCAACATGTGGCTGAGGGCCCAGATAAAACTGGAAGGATTTGAAAGCTGAGAGGAAATTTACAAAAAGCCCTAAATGACTTGTGACCAGGCCACTGTGGCCCACACAAGGACTGCATGAGGAGGTCCTGAGCTGAAATTTCAGGTGCCCAACTTCACTCCTAATCAGTGAAATACAAATTATAATACAATGTGAGACTATTATATACCCAGCACAATATCTATTAAAATATAGATAATACAAAAAACTGACCAACAATGGGTTGTGAAACTGCTAGAACTCTAATAAACAGCTGACAAAAGAATTTAAAGTTGGAAAACATTTTGGCAGTATATCTGCTGGTTTAAGCTACCCTAACAAAATACCATAGACTAAATGGTTTAAATGACAGAAATTGAATTTCTCACTGCTCTGGGGGCTGGGAAGTCCAAGATCAAAATGTAAGTCAGTTTGGTTTCTGATGAGGAAAAGTATCTGACAGCTGCCTTCTTACTGAGCCTTTCACACCTAGACAGAGAGCTAGCAAAGGGAGCTCTCTGCTGCTTATTCTCTGGAGGACATAAATTCTATAGATCACCTTATGACCTTCCTTAACCTTAATCACTGCTTACATCAAATACGGCCAGAATTAGAATTTCAACAAATGAATTTGGGACAGGGCATAATGTAGTCCATAGAATTCTGCCCTGCTCAAATTCATGCTATAAAGGCATGCAAAGCACATTCTTTCCATTTCAACATTAAACTCATCCCAATACCAAACCTAAAGTCTATGAAGTCAGACAGATTGTGTACTTCTAAGGTACAAGGGTTGGACAGGCAATGGAGAGACATTCCCATTCCAAAATCAAGAATGAAGAAAGGGATGGGAAGTCCCAAACAAGTCTAAAAAGCAGTGAGGCATATTACAATAGATTTGAAGATAATCCTTTTGCCTGAATGTCTTCCCTCCAGGTCTAGTGAATGGCAGAGGGGATGTCAGCCTCACTTCCAGAGTCTCTGGTGGGAGCAGCAACCTTAATGATTTCTGTACTACCTTTAGCACCATTATTCCCTTTCCTGGAGTGATGGTGCAATTCAACACCAATTCTCTCTGTGGCCTAGCATTGTAGAATCCAATAGTCCAACTGCTTCCCCTCATCATTCCCTCCCAGCAATCTATGTCCTGGCTTCTTCCAAGGAGGTAAAGTCTAGTACTCACATTCTAGATCTCTTTATCATGTGTTACATAGTATTTTCTTTACAAGTCTTCTTTATCTTTCCCTCCCCTGCAATGTGAATACACTAACACTTCTCCAACTTCAGATTAAGGTTAAGAGAGGTCATAAGGGTTGATGATCAAATAGCATTAGTGTCCTTGTAAGTAAGACAAAGAGAGCTTATTCTATTTCTCTCTCATTTCATGTGAGCACAGAAAAAAGAAGCCAGGAAGAGGATCCGTACCAGAGATGGCTGCCATTTTGATCTTGAATTTCCCAGTCTCTTCAGAACAACAAGAAAGGTATTCATTTCTGTTGTTTAAGCCATGCAACCTGTGGTATTTTGTTTTGGTAGCCTGAGCAGAGTAATACAGGCAATATCTACCAAAAGTAAACAAATATCAACCCAAAGACTTAGAAGTTCCACTCCTATGTGTAAATCCCAAAGAAATGAATGTATATATATATCACAAAAAACAAGCAAGGATGTTGCATTACAACAAGACTCACAGTACTTCCAACTAATAAACTAAGCATATCCTAGTGTGAAACAGTATACAATAATACAAGTGAGCGAATGACAACATGTAACAGCATGTTGTAATCTTGCACATGTAGAGAAGATAATACAGAAGGCATATATGATAGGCTCACGTTTATGAAAAATACAAAGTCAGGCAGTGGTACATTTTGGTTTTTAATTTGGGTGCTTGTTATACAAGTGCTCACTCCTTGGAAGTTCATTATGTTGTATACTTACTATTCATCTGTTTTCTGTATATATGTTATATAACAATAAAAGTTTATGTAAAAATAGACACCCATCAAAAAAATCACATTATTATATAATAAAGAATATTATATAATATTATATATTATATAATAAAGAATAAGGCTGGGTGCCAGTGGCTCATGCCTATACCTCTAGCTATTCAGAAGGCTGAGATCTGAGGATCATGAGTTCAAAGCAAACCTGGGCAGAAAAGTTCCTGTGAGACTCACATCTCCAATTAACCACTCAAAAACCTTAAGTGAAGCTGTGGCTTAAAATGGTAGAGTGCTAACTTTGAACAAAAGAGCTCAGAGACAGTGCCCAGGCCCTGAGTTCAAGCCCCACAACTGACAAAAAAAAAGAATTCTTGGTGTGTGTGTGTGTGTGTGTGTGTGAATGCATTCATAAAATTCAGTACATATCCTACAAAATTAAGAAAACTGAAGGAAGGGTGGGGTTGGCAATTATAGTGGATGAAAAGAGTGACATTGATCAAGATGCATTATATTTATAAATTGCTTTGTTAAATGGTGACTCCTTTGTACAACTACTTAAAGATAATAAAAATATATTTTAAAAAAGAATGCTATGTTAGGAGGTGTAAGGAGAGTGTGATCTACTGACCCATAATTAACTATCCAGTAATGTCATAGCTCAAAACAACAAGGTGGTAGGATCACAATGAACAAGTACCAGGAAGTGTCATCATTCATATGCAGAGTCATACATGTTGTGATATTCTTAAGTCAGGTACTTAGGCAGGTGGCGACTCCTTTTTTTAATTGTTATTATAAAGGTGATGTACAGCTGGCAACTCTTTTCAATATAGAGTTGCAATTATGCAACTATATAAATATAGTAATACTGCTTGAAAATCATTGTTGGGTTTTTTTTTGGAGCTAAGGAAACTCTGGAAATGTTAAGAATTCAGAACAGGCCATTCTATAGCATTCTTGGTCCATAGCTGTCTAGTATGCTTTGTTGAATATACTATGTCTCCTGCCTGTGTCTTGGCATCCTCTTCACTTACCTGAAGCTGAGACTAGAAATGGAGGATTTTGTGTGTGCGCTGGTAATAGGAATTGAACTCAGGGCTTCATGTTCTTGCTCCATTTGGCTTTTCTACTCAAAACTGGTGCTCTATCACTTGAGCCGCAGCTCCACTTCTGGCATTTTGCTGGTTAATTGGAGATAAGAGTCTTGAATTTGTCTGCCTGGACTGGCTTAAAACCTTGATCCTCAGGTCTCAGCCTCCTGAGTAGTTAGGATTTTAGGTGTGAGCTACTGGTACCTGGCTCAAATGCAAAATTTTACCTTAGAAATGAACTCTCTTCCTCCTCACCCCAGAGAATCTTGCAACTAGGATCTACTCTTTCAGTTCCTTCTAGGCAAGGCATGCCTAACTCTCTTCTTAGGACCATTGGAATAATTCATGATGCAAACCAGAGATTGCTGAACCCAGGGCAGCCATGACAGAATGGAACTATTTTCCCTATGTGCACACTCCTAGCACAGGGGTCTCTTTGAGGACTCACCTGGGGTGTCATCCCATGGCAGATGTACATGATGGGAACATTCTCTGTGTCTGGCCCCTGATCAAGACACAGATCCGTCTTCAGGGAATTCTGCAGCTGAACATTAGAGGAGAGACAGCCATACCAAAGAAAAAAGAAGAAAGGAAACACACGTTAATTCAGGAGAAGCAAGAATTCTCCTGACAGATTCATCTCCATAATCAACCCCAAATCCCTTGAGTGGAATCAGCAGGCCCAGCTTTTGCCTTACATTCAAGGTGAAACACACATGTCCTTCAACAATGAGTTGACTTGGGAGCTGAGATAGTCTGAGGAAACGCAGGAGAACACATACATGTGTACATACAAGATGGTGCTTCATACTGGTCCTTCCACTCATCCTTAGCTGGGGTAGACAATGGTCTTTAAGGGCCCTCAAAGAAGTCTTTGATTTTCATGGTTGAGGCAACACTTTAACTGATTTTAGGCCTGGAAGGGGCCAGACTTCTCTGCTTCCTACAGATCCAGCAGAGGCTTGGTCAGGTACCAGTAGTGGCCTAACTGCTAAGGGCCTGCCGGAGCAGGAGGTCCAATGAGAGAGGAGGAGAAGCAAAGTGTAGGAGCAAGAAAGGTAGATGCATCTTTTACCTTCAACCCACAGGTTCATGGCTCCACAGTGTTCACAATCAGCAAACCATGACTGGGTAGAGCCAACGTTCAAGGTTGCCTTGTGGCCTAAGAGACTGAGTTCGTGGAAAGCACAGACTATTTTCCATGTAACTCTGCTCACTAGCCAAAGTTGAATGGACCAGTGGGCGCCTCCTCACAATTTAGAAAGAATGTCATTTTGTTTCTTTCTCCTCCCCTATCTTTTTGGAATCTGGCTAGCTCTTTATTCTCTTACCTGGGTCTCTAAATGAGATCCAGAGATTATGGTCTTAGTAGAACCATTGAGATCTTGTGTGTGTGTGTGTATGTGTGTGTGTGTGTGTGTGTGTGTGTGTGTGTGTGTTTCTACTGTGTTATGTGCAAGCAGAGAAAATCAATTGGGATCAAGGATGAGATAATGCACTAGGTAGTATAGAGAATTACTGGTTAAGAGAGACCGCCCTGACCCACTATGGCCTTCATGGCTTTGCAGCTTATGTGTCCATGCCTGGCCATACTTCAGTTCCCATGCCTATATGTGTGGTATCTTCACCCACCCTCGCTTTACCTTGAGCTAGCCTAACTGAGTTTCTCTTCTTCCCAACCTAAAATCCTCTGATTAGAACAGAGGAGAGGAGTAAGAATCCATGGAAACTCGGACAATGGATCACAGGAAGGAAGCTGGACAGAGAAGGAAGCTGGATTGAGTGTCAGAGTCCTCTTCTCTTGTGGTGGGAATAGAATAAGCTTCATTGAGGGACATATTGTTGAACAGATAACCAGAGGCACACGTGTAATATTCACAGGGGACAAGACACAAAATCAGATTCCTTTCTGACCTTCCTACAAAGCTTCTTTTGCTCGGCTGGGTTATGACAGCCCATTCCCATACTTAGTTCTGAAGAAATACAAATGGATGTACATCTGCTCTGTAGGCAGGGGCTACCAGAGCACCCAGGTAGCAATCCTCTACTAGGCACCCATTCCTGTGCTTGACTTTGTGGAAGAAGAATATGAGGCTATACTTTGGATTTGTTCTACAGCCCACGGAGAATCAGTACCAATGTAAAACCAAGCATTAAAACCACTCTAAGACCTGCTAAGTGCTTTACAAAGAGGAAGATTTAGGGTGCCCTGAGGATAGTTGTGGCTTTCCCTGGGTTATTTTTTCTTTCATTTAATTAATTGATTGATAAAGTTTAAGAATTAAGTAGTTGGACAAGGGGGCTTCAATTTCAACATGTCATTTATGAGTACAATACATCTTGATCCATGCTCATTGGGTTCTTAAAGCTGTCCTCTGGGTAAGAGAGTGGGTATCTTTTGCTAAAGTCTTCCCTGGCTCTGTGTCATCTGCCCACTATTAAACAAGGGGTCTAGTGAAGCAGTTGAGAGATACAGGCTGGGATTCAGTCCTGTGTGGTCTTAGATACAGAAATAGAACTCCTTTACTGTCTGTTTTCTTCTCTTGAAAACAGGGATAATAATAGTGTCTACTTCCCGGGGCTGTTATGAGGATTAAGTGAAATAACATCTATAAGGGCTTAGCCCAGGGCAAACAGAGAATGTGCAATAACTGTTAGCTGCTATCACTACTATAACCTCACAGCCTTTTAGTAAACTAGCTTTTATGAGCACACCTATGTCTCAGGTAACATGTGAAGTATTTTCCACATAAATTGCATCTCATTCTCAAAACAATCCAGCCAGGTTGGTGATATTATCTCTTTTAAGAATTTGGGATCCCAAAGGTGAAATGCTTATGTGCCTCTGATCATATGAAATAATATTTATTGAAATGAACTCCAGGAAATGAAAACAGAGTTTTTCTTTGTTTCTGTTTTTCTTTTCTTCTCTTTTTGTTTTGTTTGTTCATTTCTCTGTCTCTGGGAGGGTAAAAGGAGGCACAGAAATGGGGGGACAAAGGGTAAACAAATGCAGCAGTGGTACTCATTAGATACCATGTTGACAATAAATTATGCAACTTATAGGTGGGGACTGGAGGGGGGAAACCTGGAAGTCATGAGGAGGGGGGGTGATATTGTCTAAAAAGAAATGTATACATTACATGACTTATATAAGTGTAACCTCTCTGTACATCACCTTTATAATAACAATTTAAAGACTAAAAAATACAGGACATGTCTGCCATATACTGAACACTACATAAATAAAAAAAAAAAAGAATTTAGTATCTGTAGTCATAGTCTAGCAGCAAGCTCTCCCTTACCTCCCTGTCTGTGATGCTCTCCTTTCTGTATGGACATTTCTCCACGCTACTCTTTCCTTTGTCCTTTTTATCTACTATACCTTTCTCTTCTTCTGAATTTAACTTGTCTGCCATGCTAGAAGCCCCTTCAGACCCAGGTTTAGGAGTCACTGCTTTATGCTTCACCAGCTCTCTCATTTCTCTTTTTGTAACACTTAGTATGTTTTTCTAGTTGCTTGTTCCCTTGCCTGTCCCCCTGTTGGTCTGCAGACTGGGTCCTAGCCATTATCAATGTATGTTGCATGGGCTGGGGCACACAGTAAACAATTGCTAACTGTTGAATGAGTATGTGCAGAAAATGAAGGAATGTGAGGCTGGGAAGGTGGCTCAGTGGTAGAGCGCTTGCCTTGCATGCATGAGGCCCTGGGTTCAATTCCTCAGCACCACTTAAGCAAAAAGAAAAAAGCCAGAAGTGGCGCTGTGGCTCAAGTGGTAGAGCGCTAGCCTTGAGCTGAAGAGCTGAAGGACAGTGCCCAGGCTAAGAGCTCAGGCTCCATGACCAGACCCCCCCCCAAAAAAAAAACAAAAAGAAAATGAAGGAATGAATGAATAGCATTGCAATTGAGCAAGTGGCAGAGATACAGCCTGACCCCAATGCCCAAACTCTTTCCATCACACAAATAGGCACAATCCTGAGACAGTAAGGTGTCCTATGAAATGGTTTACTATAATCATTAAGATTATACACATTCTCACAATAAAAAAAGATACACATTGTCAAGATTACATAGCAAGTAAGTGCAAAACAAGAGTTCAGAAGGCAGGCATGTCGTTTCTAGATGATTCTCCATGTTTCTTGGCAGTAACAGAGCAACAGAGCTATTCTTCCAAAGTTACTCCATCTCTCAGATAGAGAATTCAGCAGTCCATACCTACACACTAGAATACACACATCTTCTTGCCTGCAGAAGCCATCATGGGACCTATTTGTAGATGACTAGGATGGTCTATAGACTTGATACTGGCCTAATTGATCTGAGCAAAATAGTTTGGGTATGAGTTGGAATGAAGTAAGATAAAAGAAACTCTGCCTTTGAAAATACATCCTATTCTTCTATTTTAAAATAAAACTAATAGGTAGAACAATTGAGACTCAGTAAATCCTCGTCTTTCTGTGGCTGCATCTTGCTTGGCTCATCTTCATCCCACTTCCTCCATTAAGAGTTTATTATACTCCTTAACCAGCCTGTGTCTCTACTCATGTATAAGGTAGAAAGTGGCATTGTTGTGGAGAAGGCAAAGAGAGAGAGGAAAGCCTAGTAGATGAATGTGCATGGGGTCAGACTTCCACTAGCCACAGGGATAGCTAACACAGCTCAGCCATTTGGGAATATGAGTGGATAGTTTTCAGCATGACAGAGTGAAAACTGCCTAAACAGACCTAGATCACAACAGTAGACACATCAATTACTATTTAGCCAATCAAATATTTCTGCATCTGGCACCAAGAAGGCTACACAATAAGTCTGATGCACATGAAATGAGGTATTTCTTCTTGGAAGATGAAAATGCCTTTGGCCAAGACACAGAACTGCAAAGGCCACAGGCCAACACTTCCACTGTTACCTTCCACTGCCTCTCTGGGTCGACTTAGTTAATCTTGTATAGCTACAGCTGACAGCCTTCTGAGACCAGAGGACCAGAAGCTGGCCCTGTGCTCACAAATACTTGGAGCCAATATCTTCTCTGGAGCCAGAGAAGCATCACTATCCTTTTAGGCTTGTGCCTAATGCACAGCCTACTACGGAAAAGAGCATGTGCCTCAGGAAAACTATGTACTTTGAAGGTCTTGGTGACAGAGAGGACTGATGGGCACAATCAATGTGGCTTGTTTCCATAGTGATAACAAGATAGCTTAGATAAGAGCTGGGCAGCACCACCAGAGGCATTTGCTGACCTCAAAATTCTACCAGCCTGAGAAGTGGAGAGGCCACTGGGCAGTTCTCTTGGAATGTGCCAACCATGCATATAGACTCTCATAGGAGGACATGACTCTTTTCTACAGACTAGCCTCATGGACAACAGACATGCTGGGTAGTTCTGAAGTCCCAGTTGTACATCTTCTAATATCCTAGAAAGTTAAAATGGGAGGTTCACAGAAAACTCTGAGGAAGAGTCTCACAGGAAAGACACTTCCTACTCCCAGGTAAATGCTCTGTCCTTTATGTTCCCTGCAGCAAGCCTTGAACTCAGCCCTGACCGTAAGGAATCAAACAAGAGGCTTCAATTTGCTTTCAAGTTCTAATCCTGGGAGATCAAAAAGGTTTGAGAGGACACTCTACAAGGTTAGGAACTGGGGTGGTACCAGCTGATATTTCAGACTGAATTTCACTGCTGACTATATGTGGGAGTAAGACAAAACACTTTTCCCCTTCTTCTTCACCTGTAACATGAAGAAAATGAAAGGAATCCCATAGAATAATCCTAAGACATAACTATCATTGAAAAAAGTATGTTTTTTGGACTATCTAAGTCAGAAAAAAACTAGATATCTCAAAATCAGTTAGGTACAATTTACAATACTTTACAAGCTGTTGGGTCTTAGAAATATTGGGAGAATAGAATTTATTGTGGAAGAGTTCGAAGTATTTTAAGCATTTTAAGCTTAAGCAGCAGAGCACCAACTGTGAACAAGAGAACCTAGTGAGAGTGTGAAACCCAAGTTCAAAGCCTTGGTACCTATATACACAGAAAGAAAGAGAACAAGGTAGGTAGGTAGGTAAGATGGAAGGAATGAAGGAGGAAAGGAAGAAGGAAGAAGGAAAGGAATCAATTACATTTCTCAGACTACCATCTATCTTCTGAGAGCATTATTAATTCATCCTATTTGATGCTTGCATGGGAAGTGGTTGTCTAGATCAGGTCTGCCTGACTACAGCCCTATTCTCTATTCTCTACATTCTTCCCCTATTCACTGCCTCACATTGAGACAAACAGCTTTGTGTTCATCAAAAAGCAAGACTACAGCATCCTTCAAAATACAGTGAACTGAAGAAGGTTATTTTTTTCCAAGAACGCTTCCCAGAATGGCTCTGCATGTAAGTCGAAGGTTCTATCTCCTTAGTCCTCTTTAGTAGGGGGGCATACTGGGTGGCACTCCAGGTGGAAAAACAGTGGGTGCTGGTTATGATATTTGTATTCTTCAGCTAACTGCTTCTTTATATATTTTACTAAGAGGAATATACAGGCTCATAGCCAGAGCTGAACTGCTCTCCTAAGGAACTAGAAACGTTTGGGTAGTAAATGCAAATGCTGTCCCCCATACTGAGTCCTTGGGTCTAGCACAGGTCCTCAAGTAAGTGGTCACAGGCGGCTTGTTCTTTCTTTTTCCTTTCTTTCCCATACCTCTTTCTGGTTCTGATTTCAGTCTGAATCTAAATGAATCCCAGAAGAGACTGGTTCCTTACCACCCCGTAGGCAATGATGTCAGAGTACATCCTCATCTCTGGGTACACGCTGACCAGGTACCACCGGAAGGTCTTGCACTGAAGCTGTTTCCTCAGAGCCTTCCGTGCACTGATGTCTCCGATGTCAATTCCTGAGTCCTGTATAGGGAATGGGGGCAGAGATGTGGCCATCACTAGCTTAGAGGCTTTCCCAGAACTCACCTCAGTATGACCCAGTGTCCCTAAACCAAGATTTGCAGAAACTTTCTGCTAACGGAACGCTGTAGAAAGTTAACTCACTCAGTCCTCCACACATACCTTTGCCCCAGAACCATCACCATTAGAAACCTAAAACATAAGGGCAGCCTTGGAAATAAAGATGCTGGATTTTTAGATTATATTTGACTACAATTTAACATGGGTGTCAGCTTTTATGGAGACCCTCCAGCAGAATCTGTCTCAGGATGGCCTCTCTGTGTTTTCTTAAAATTCTTGGTTCCCATGAGAAACTTGTCTTTCTGCACATAGAATTGGAGCAAAGTTTGCTACTCTCCTTATGATCCTATAAAAGGTGAGAGAGGAACACTCCACTAGAGTGCCCATATCTACTCTAACCTCTCAGGAGCTCCAGAACCAGCTCATTGCTAAACTTACATTGCAGAATACCAACTCACTTCCTGTTTATTAATTGACTTTGGCTTTTCTGTTTTAATGGTTCAGAATCTCTGTAGTGTGTATTTATTGTCAACTCCAACAACTCCTTTATCAGAGGATGGGGAATACATTGAGAAATATGTAAAACATCTTATTCTTAAAAACCAATGAACATACCATCCTCTTTTTCCACTGTGTAGTTTGTTGATGGCTTTCATCCTCCAAAATTCATGTCTACCTGGAAACTCTGAATTTGTCATTACAGTTTCCTAAAAATATAATCTGTTTGGAGCCAGGAACCAGTGGCTCACTCCTATAATCCTAGCTAATTAAGAGGCTGTGTTCTGAGGATCAGGATTCAAAGCTAACCTGGGCAGACAAATCTGAGGTACTCCATCTCTATTTAACTAACAGAAAGCCAGAACAAAAGACATGATGAGAAAAAGAGAGAGAACGATGGAAAGAGAGACAGAGAGAGAGAGAGAGAGAGAGAGAGAGAGAGAGAGAGAGAGAGAGAGAGAAGGGTGGAGATATAATCAATTTGAAATCTCAAGATGAAATTTTATATTTTTGGTGGACTTCCAATGGCTTCTATCTTCATAAGAGAAAAGAAAGGAAATTTGAATCCACAGAGACACACCAAGGTGAGAACCATGTAGAGATAGAGCAGAGATTGAAGTGGTGTATCCATAAGCCAAGGAATTCCAAGAGCCACCTGAAGCTGAAGGAGACAAAAAATAATTATTCTCTAAAGCCATCAGAGGCAGCATGACCCTGCCAGCACCTAGATTTTAGACTGCTGGCTCCTAGAACAATTAGAGAACAAATTTCTGTTATTTAAACCACGAGTTTATGGTAGTTTGTTTTGGCAGCCCTAAGCGACTAACATTTACCCACCCGACAGAGACCAAAAAGTTCTTGCAGCCAAACCTAAAGAAAAGCTGTCAGCTAAGCACCACATGAGCATCCCTGACACTTAGCTTGTCTTTGGACAAGAGAAATAGGGATTGGTTTAGAGTTCCTTGCTTAAGAAAATATTGATGCTTTGCTGTAGGTTGACTTTCTGTTTATTGATAAGCAAACTGACTTTCAATTAAGGCAGCAGGATGAAGCAGTGGGGGTTTCTTTGGACTCTTACTAACTTGGGATTGAATGTGGTCAAGGAGCAGTTCTCTTCTATAAATAGCCCGTGGGAGACTCTGCATACCGTGTTAGGCAGGGAAAGAAGCAAAGGCAGTAAGGACGAAGAGAGATGGAACCATAATCCATCTTTTTTTTTTTTGGGTCCAATTGTGGGACCTGAACTCTGGGCCTGGGCGCTGTCCCTCAGCTCTTCAGCTCAAGGCTAGCACTCTTCCACTTGAGCCACAGTGCCACTTCTGGCTTTTTCCTTTTTGCTTATGTGGTGCTGAGGAATCGAACCCAGGGCCTAAGGCATGCAAGGCAAGTGCTCTACCACTGAGCCACCTTCCCAGCCCCCATAATCCATCTTATACCAGGAAACAGCCAGGAGTGTGGGTCAGGGAAGAGGTAGGCAGTCAAAAAAGCTTCCTAGGTTAGAACCTGTTTGAAGTTGAGTATGAAAAATAAGCTGAGTTCACTAAATTACAGTTACCCAAGCCAGACTCCTTTAAACTACCAACCTGAAGAGCTTTTTATACATTCTAGCACCTATACAGAGTTACTGATCCTAATCTCTGAGAGTGAGGTCCACATGGGTATTTTTATAAGGTCTCCAACTGATGCTGATAGTTAGTCTGCAGATTTGCTTCCTTCCTTCCTCCCTCCCTCTCCTTTCATTCCTTCCTTTGTCTTGGTGCTGGTAGTTGAACCCAGGGCCATTCACTTGCTAGGCAGCTGCTTTGCCACTTGAGCCAGGGTCTCAGTCCAGTCCGTAGATGCTCCCCTAGAAACCACTGACCAAAGGGTTACACATAAAATCAGCAAGTTAACTCATCCATTAATAGCATTAGTCCTTACTAATGCTTACTAGGAATTCTTACTAGGAGTTCTTTTTTTTTTTTGTCGGCTGTAGAGCCTGGGAACTGTTCCTGAGCTCTTTTGCTCAAGGCTAGTGTTCTACTTTGAGCCACCGCTCCACTTCCCTTACTAGGAGTTCTTAACATGAGCCCTACCTTATACTAGGCACAGTGACACAGAATGAATCTCACAATTTGTCTCAGGAAGCTCAGAGTCTATTGCAGTGCTTTTCAGCCTTGGATGGACATCAGCATCCCAATGTGAGCTTTCCAAAAACAAAACTGGCAGGAGTCCCTCCCAAATCAGCCTGAGTTTAAGAGTCATTGGTCTAATGGGAACAAGAGACTAGGCAATAAAGCATTCTTTTATAGGCTGGTCATATGATGACAGAGGCATGTATGGGAGGGGAAGCACATTCTCTGCAAAGGCTGGCTCTTAGTGAAAGGGTCATTGGAGCTGAGTGTGCAAGTTTAGAGATCTGGAAGAGGTAGAGGATAGGGAATTTCAAGCAAAGATTATAGAATGAGCAAAGCACACATGTAATAAACAACACGATCCAAGCTGTAGACAGTTCCCACAGTACACAAACGCTATGTTTCCCCCCAAAAAGGAGTGGTAAGAGTGAGGCTGAAGATCAGACAGAGGATAGGCATTTGAAACTCAGATACATGTCAAACAGTGTACTTGGCACTTGACTTTGTATACAGTGGAGAGCTGTTTGTAGATTTCAAGCAAGGGAATAGACTGGTCATTGTGAATTTTTCCCAAGATGACATTGGGCCCTGTGAAGGGTAGATCTGAAGGCTGTTGCAGAGATACTGGCCAGGCCTGCACTCAAATATGACAGGAGGGAGAGTAGACATGAAAGCTTGATTGATGAGATGGGATTAAGAGAAAGGAGACCGGGATAGTGGCCAGTTTCAAGCTCATGTGACAGGGCAGTTGGTAGCATCATGAACTGAGACTGAGGATAAGAGCAGGAAAAGACTTAGGAGAAGATGTGCTCAGTTTTGGTTAACTTCAGCTTGAGTGCCTGTGGGAACAATGGGAGGAGATGTCCAGCTGGCAGGAGGAGACACAAGTCTTCAAGTAGGGTCAGAGATATTAATTAGGAAGTCCTCAGCATATGGGTATAGTTAAATCCAAGAGCAGATGTGATTACCCAGAGAAGTGGGAGAATGAGAGCAGCTGTCCTAGGAGGGATCCTTGGGGAGTACTGAAGCAACCAGAGGAAGGAAGAGGAACCTGGGAGAAGCAAAAAAAATGAAGACATTCTCTGTATAGTATTTTCACAATAACAATATTAAAAAAGTATGGAATGATGTAGCCAATGGGCTATGGAATTTCAAAGAAAAAGTAGAATCCTGTAGGATGAAGACTTTGAAATTCCCATTTAAATTAAGCAATTGGGAAGCCTATGGGATCTTAGATAAAGAGTTTCAGTGGAGTGTTGGGATATGACTTGAAAAATAGATGATGAGTGGCAAAGTGCCAACTCGGTTCAAGAGGAAGGAGAGGGTGAATCTGGACATGAAATAGGAGAATCAAGAGCAAGTTGTTTTTTTAAGGAAACAGCTGACATTTTCTTTCCCCACCAAAGGCTTCAGCCTGGAGGGAGACCATATCTATCTAATCTATGTATCTATGTATCTATGTGTTTATGTATCTATGTATGTACATATGTATGTATGTATGTATGTATCTATCTATTCATCCATCCATCCATCTATCCATCTACCATTCATCTATTCACGTCTCCCCACCCGTTTGATTTGTTTTAAACTATCCCTGAGGGGTCACAGGCAGACGCTGAGTCTCATCATTTTTCAATTACTTTGCTCACATGATTCTTTACAGTTCACTGGGTGGCTGTCCATTTCAGCATCTGTCAACTGCAGCCAGGGAGGGCTGGAAAGTCTGTCACTTTGAGAAGCAGAAAGAAGAGGGCAAGATCATGGGCAGAACTCCAGTCCTTACTACACAGAGCCTGGGGTCTGGAATGTTCTCTGGTGAGCTCCTAGGGAGCTTCCTGGTGCTTCTAATATTCTTACCACCATGGGCTTAGTACCCTATGTAGAATACTCTGATCCAATGCCCACAGTGACAGATGAGTCCAGAAGGCAGTTTCCCTAGAAACATTTACTCTCAGAGATGCAGTCCTAAGGCTGGTTCATCAGTGTTGGCTATACTCTGCTGAGATGCCTTGGTTTCTCATTTTTCCCTTATGAATGGATGAAAAATCACTGACTACAGGAATATGCAACCCATCTTAGTGGTAGAGAAAATTTTCCTAAATCCCCCAAACAAGGTTCAACCTACTTTGCTGGTAATTTAGTCAGAGCAATATTAGCTTGATGGCAAGTCTAGGGTGCTGGGCTTTCCTATGGAAGTTAAACAAAGATCAGCCCTTTCTCTATTAGCCAGAAAGCAAAGATTTCCTGAAAAACTCCCAAGGGAATGGGAAGTATTAGAAGGACAGAAAGAGGTCATACAGGTACACAGCTCTATTATATAGAATGTAACACAGCATAAATTCCAGGTAGACAAGATGGCAAGCAGGCTTGAATCCTATGGCTGGCACCCGTGGGTCTCCCATCTCAGCAACATTCCAAGGTGATTTCCATTTGGGACATGACTCTTCTTAAATGTAGATAACAAAGGACAGTAGCAGGCAATGATAAGGATCTGTGAAGATCAGAAACAGCCTAACCTGTCCATTATACTTCCTTTCTTTTTTCTGGAAGTCCTTAAGGGAATATATTCCCATTTCCATCCAGATAGTTCCAGAAATCTCACAGGTGTGTGGGAATTCCTAATTGTTCTGGTCAAAGGTTCAATGGAGAAGCATAAATCTAGTTCACATGGACATTAAGGTATATTCTGTGAATTACTGTCAATATTGGCATATTTATGTATTTAGAATACTGAGCCACAAAAACACCTATTGCTAGAGCAGCTGAGGACTGAGAAGCAGAAAGGAAACCAGGAGCTACCTGGTCCTACTTCCATTTTAAAACAAAGCCACTAAGGTTTCGAGAAAACAAATCCTCCTTCAAGCATTTTTGATAGAGTAAAGGCAAAAAGTAGCTTGGAGACACAGAATGACTCTCTTTTCTGAATGTACCATATTTGGGGGATTGACAGTCTATTCCCTATGGCAAATGAAATTGTGAGTGACTCCTGGAAAAAGAATTGATTCTCAGGTCTTGTTTTTCCCTTGTTACCCCCACAACACCCCCAAGAAATCTAATTCCATCAGAGATCACTACCTCTTGGGGTATGTTCCATGCCATGTACACATGGCTTTTAAATTCATCCATCCAGACTTCAGCTACCCTGAGAGCATTCCTGCGGACATGAGCAGTGAGGTCCTCTGTGTAGGGCTTGTGGGCTCGCTCGATGTGGGCAATCCTCGAACAGGGCAGGACCTCCACGCTCCCACCACACTGCCACACCTGCAGAAGACAAAGAGCCACTTGTCAGTACTCAGACTAGACCCTGCATCTCGAAACTACACCACAGACCACCTCTCAACCCGATCACAGGGAAATTCAGTTCTCTTCACTTTGTCTTTCCCTTTCTTTACTGTCTGAAGGAATGAGCTGGGTCTGATTTCTAGTCCTATAGCAGCAAGATTATTGAGTCATCAATTCATTTTCATTGCTGTAAGTTTATTTGCAAAGAATTCATGTGTCCCCTCCCCTTCCAATAGTCCCACCTGGATGGCTAATACAGAGACTAGACATTTTGCAACCAAAGATGTGGATTCTTCTTGCTTTGAGGGACAAGTTTACAAAGCCTTTGATGATGGTCCCTATATATTGCTTAACATAAAAGGAAAAAGGAGAGACTCCCAACTCAGTTCTACATCTCCTAATGGGTCTCTGGAGCCTAGGCAAGGATTCATGATAAAAAACAAATAAACAAACAAACATCTTCTTCTATACCAGCTTTTGTGAGCTTCTGAAGAAAAGACCTTTACTGGAGAGTAATGTCCACCCACTATCCTGGCAATTTCATGATCTGATGAGAATGTCTACATGTATAATGTGTGGCCACCAGTGATAATACTTGGGTCCACGACAGAGCAAGATTTGAATTTAGCTTAACCCCCTTTGTCAGTCTTCTTTTCCTCTAATCCATGTTACACCAACAGGACCCACAGGCTACGGGCTATTAGAAAGTCATTTACTGGCCAGGTACCAGTGGCTCACACTGTAATCCTAGCTACTCAGGAGGCTGAGATCTGAGGATCATGGTTCAAAAAGCCAGCCCAGGAAGGAAAGTCTGTGAGACTCTTATCTCCAATAAACCACCAGAAAACCAGAAGTGGTGCTGTGGTTCAAGTGGTAGAGCACTAGCCTTGAGCTGACAAGCTGAGAGACAGCGCCTAGGCCCAGAGTTCAAGCCCTATGAATGACCAAAAAAACGTCATTTACTGGTTCATTGCTTACCTCAGCTCATCTTGTACTTAATATAGTAGTTAGAGTCAATAGAAAAGAAGCAGCAAGCATTGCCATTGAGTATTGTGCACCAGGCACTGGACTGCATACGTGTGGAGACAGGGAAAAGTGGTGGTGAAGGACAGAGTTTGCAAACAGACTACTTGTGTTCATCATCCTAGCTATGAGACTTTGAGGAAGTCACTTCCTCTCATTTGTGCTTCTGTTTCTTCATCTCTACCAAGGTCCTAATAGTACCTATCTCATGAGGTTGAGGAGGGAATTAGAGCAATGGTATGTAGTGTCTCGTACATTATATCCACTTGGTCATGTTAGCTTTTACTATACAAATTGTGGAATACTGTGGTTGTTATCTCCAACTCCAAGTGAGGAAGCAGACTAAAGCCACATGGCTGCATTGACGACAGATGGATCTGTCTGACCCCTGAAGAAGCTCAAGGTAGAGCAAATGCACCCCATGGTGACTGTGCTGGGAGAGCAGTTAGCAAATCCTGAGTCTCTGAGGATCAGGAGAGGGGTATTGCAGGTCGCTAGCTGTGCTCCTTCCTTTCCAGGATGCGCACGTCCAGGAGACTAACTTCAGGTATGCTTTGTTCCAACTGTCCATATGTAAGGTAAATATACCGCGGACAACACAGACAATTATTCTTCCTGCAACTATTGGAATGGAGCTATTATGTGAAATGTTTCCATAACTCAACACAGAACACGATTCATACCAAAGCTCTGTTATTATAAGACTTGCAAACTTTTCACCAGAAGACGGTGATGTTGGGGGAAAGGATCTGGGTAATTCACTTCCCTTTTCTGCCTGGTAGTCATATTCCTTATCCAAGTGAACAATAGCCATCTTTCCTGGACTCTGTACCTCCAAATGACTGATGTCTTTCTTCCTCTTTCCTCTCCACACTGCAGCCAGAGTGCTCTTTTGAAGGTGTGAATTGGATCAGAGTTCTCCGGACACTGGGCGTCTCTTTGCCCCGGCACAGCTCTTGATTTGGGCTTGTTTCCACCACCAAACTACCTTACACTGCAATTCCCAATTCCCTCTAAGATGCAGTCACACCAGATAATGATTTTCTTCCTCCAACACTCAATTTTTCTCTTACCACTGGGTTTCTGCCCTTGTGACGATTTCCCACTTCCATTCTGTTTCCCCAGATTGTGGTTTGGGTATCGGGTGCCATCACTTCCCTGTACCCCTTCAACAAAGTTGGCAAGCCTGTGGTGCTCTGGGGTTCTTGCCTCAGCTGTTTCCCATGTAGCAATACTGCAACTGCTTGTTTGATCACCTCCCCACCTCTAAAACTTTCTCTAAGCATACCATCAAGCTCTCCTTTAGACATACATTAAGTGAGGCTCAGGAAGAATCATAGGTTTCCAGCAAGAGGTGGGCAGCAGCTACGTAGGAGTTGAGTGCCTGTCTTTTAATAGCACAACATTGGAGTCAGTGAGACCCGGATTCAGATTTTATCTCTGCCACTGGTTGCTCTGTGTCTTTGAAAATCTGCTTCTCTCCCAGGCCTCCATTCCATCCAGTGGAGGAGGATGACCAGTTACGGGCAGTAGTTTCATCCTGTGTCAGCCTCAGTGTGGGCCCCACATGGACAGCAGTGGAGGAAGTTAAAATGTCAAGCATGTGGCAACAAGAATTTCGGATGATTCTTGTCCTGACAGGTACCACTCAGGTGTTTTTTGGGGGGGCTACTAACCTCTGGTCTAAGTAATTCACATGCCAGAGGATATCATACAGGGCTGCAGCCTCAGGAAGCCTTTTCTGGAGTGCCCAGAATATGGAAACCCTCAGATTCTGCCTATTGTTGTTTTATAGTTTTACAGCTGCTGCTATTTGGCTTTTTCTGCACAATAACTTTTGAGGAGCGTGCAGGCTGTAGAGGACAGGCTGCCTTCCCAGAAGGCAGCTCTCTGCTCAGAGACCAAGAGGCCTTGTTAATACAGAGAAGCTGCAGGCTCCTTCTCTCTCTGGAAAGGAGCTTGGTTTCTGGGGAAGGGGTAACATTTGCCTTGTATACAACCTTGGTTCTTGACAGCATGTAATCCTGGGAATGCATAACATTTCTGGACCCTACCAATGACATGGGAGTCACCCAGAAAAGGCCTGTGGTAGAGCATGCCTGTGATCCCAGCTCTCAGGAAGCAGAGGCAGGAAGGTTATGAGTTTGATGTCAACCTGAGCTACAACAAGAAAAGTGGGAAGAAAGGAAGGGAGAGGAGAAAAGAATGGAGGGAGATAGGAATGGAAGAATAAAAAGAGGGAGGGAGGAAGGGAAGAAGGAAGTTAGGGAAGGAAGGAGGGAGGACATGCTTGTGTTTACCAATGTCTGGAAGAGCCTTCAGTGACCAAAGGCTAAACCTAAGAAAGAGTCTCAAAAAAATCTTATCCAGATGGGATCTCAAAGACACTCCCTGGCATTTGGACCATGTGGAAGATGATGTCATGAAACTTTCATGGAGACTCGGGAGAATCAGGGAATGAGGAAGCAAGAGAAAAGGAGCTGGCATGGTCTGGGTGTGTTGGTACACAGCTATTCAGAGGCAGGGGTAGGAGGGTCATAGTCTGGGGCTAGCCTAGGCAAAAGCACAAGACTATCTAAAAACATTAAGAGTAAAAAGGGCTGAGTGCATGGCTAAAGAGGTAGGTCCCTGACCAAGTTGGCTTTGGCCTAGGAAATATCTAATTCACGAGATGGCAGGACCCAAGTCAGATGGAAGACATGGCCAAGAAGGATTATGTCTGGGAAGCAGGGCCACTGGGCAAAAGATGGAATTGTGGGTAGAAGGACAGTTTAGAATTGTAAGTTCTAGAGAGGAGTGAGAAGAGAGGAGAAAGTGAGAGAAAGACACAGAGAGAGGTGGGTAGGTACTAAAGAGGTGGCTAAGAAATAAAGACCCAGAAGTCATAGGAAACAGAGCACTGTAAGCAATCAAAAAGCCTGAAGTTGTACAGTACCTGCCTTACCAGTGTTAAGTCCCAGAGTTCAAATCCTAGTAATGCCAAACACTCCAAAAAATAGGTAGCTCATAAAGTAAGCTGCAAGCACGTACCAAATCATACAGACACTGGGGACACCAGACAGCACGTCACTTCTGGACAGCACTGAGCGGTGTGTTGCTTGACCGCATTAAGTACTTCCTGTGTCTATAACTCTGTGCTTGCTGCTAGTCTCCCTTCCTGGAATCATTTCCCTCACTTATTATTTAAGTTAAACATCAACTTCTTTGACCTACATAGTCCAAGTCAGGCCCCTTCTGAATACATTTATACCTCATTTCCTATTCTTTTTTTTATTATCATCTTTAAGTAGTTGTACAAAGGGGGTGCCATTCAACAAAGCAGTTTATGAACAGATTGAATCTTGTTTTCTTTTCTTTGCAGAGCTGAGGGACAAACACAGGGCCTTGTGGGCTCTTCTACTGCACGAAATCTCCAACCCCAGGGCATCGTGATCAATGTCACCCCTTTCAGCCTTCTCCCCTATCCCTCTCAACCCCACCCCTTCTCTCAATTATCTTAATTTTGTAGAATGTGCATTGAATTTTATGACTGCAGTCTCCTCATTCATATTCTTAAGAACACTTACTCAACTTACATTTATGTTTGTTTCCTCAAACTGGTTTCTGAGTTTCATGAAGATGGGGATTATGTCTGTTTATTTTTGTATATATACAGCAACCCTTGAAACCCGGGTCTATATTTCAATAGCTATTATTTGAATGAGTGATGTTGAGAGTACAGGTCTTTCACTGACTATAGAGACATGGATGTAACTAGTTTAGCTGGATGCCCTAATAAAGGCCATAGAGATAAAATGTAGCCAGATTTTACCAAACACAATGAATTCCTTCAAACCCAAGCAGTTTTTCAGCAACACTCCGACATTTAAGTGCCTACTGCTATAATCAGAGACATACTTTGGCTACAGCACTTGAATTAATGTTGTAAGACCTAGGAAGTCCTCAAATAAGTATGG